GACAACTTCATACAAAATTTAAGAAATGATATATAACCACTAGCGCCATCTATCGTCAGCCTCCTGCACTTCTCGTGTGGCGGGAAAATTTGAATGTGGTCTTTTTTGTTTTTTTTTATTTGAGGTATTTTTGGGTTTCCTATCCCAGCGCTAAATAAAAGAACAAAAATTACAAAATTTCTATTTATTTATTCAAAATAAAAATATAAATTGAAATAAAAAACATACATAACTTAAGAAACAATTTCTCCAGCAGCTTAGTTCTTTCTATAAAGACATTTGATGGGTTTAAACATGAAAAGAAAATCAATAATGATTACATTTCAATTACTTAAGTAAACAATGATAAAGAATTGAAATAAGATTTACAATAATGGATGAATTGATAATATGCACAATTATTGTCTACAATAACCAAAATATCAATATTTTAATCTAAAACAAGTTAATTAATAAATAAGCTCCTACACACAAGTGCAAAGTGCAACATTCACAAATAATAATTTTGTTTTGATAATATTTGGTTGTCTATCTATTTCCCTGAATTGACACTAAAAATTTTGTCTCTATATTATATGCAATATATTAAGTATTGAATGCAGCTTATAAATAGAATAATTTTATTTCAAAATTATAAAACATATTAAATATTAAATTACAAAAATATTCCTTATTTCATTTTAAAAATTTTCATATAGAGATACGTACTTTCTTTTTCAGGTTCAACATTATGTGTTATGCTTTGATGTTTGTGGTTGTTCTTCAGTGGATATAATGTTGTCCTTTTTGAAGATCCTGCTTGTGGTTTTGCAGCAATAATTTGCGAGGGATCAGCTTGTGATTCCACAAAATAAAATGGGAATACACTTTGTTAGTCTGGAAATAAATAAAAACTGAAATAAATTATGGTATCATAAAATTATTATATACAATTAACATTATATTCATTGACATTACTTTCATAGTAAACCAGTCCCTACTCATGGCACTACATTACCCTTCTACCAATACAAAATAAATGAATGGATCTTGTTCATCCAACTTGCTCTATAATACACCCACTGTTACAATTAATATAACAAAATAAGATAGTAAATACAATAACTATGTGAAAAAAAATCTTGTGTTTATCTATTGTTTGAGAACCATTTGATGCATGTATTTCTACTGTGTTGTACAAGTTGTGCCTTTAAATTTGATAGGTTTAGGACCAAATGTAAATTATTCATATATTGTGATGCTGGAACTTTCTTAAGGTTTGTTGTTGTTTTAAAATAAAATTTGATTGTTAAAAATAATATGCAGTGTGTTGCACTTTTAATAATGTAAGGAAAGGCTTGTGTTAACTTTATAGACTTCAATCCTTTGGATGCTTTGTCCGATCCAATTATTATAAATTAGTTGAAAGAATTAACAGGATTCAAACTACTGTATGTGGTCTGTCCATCCATGTTAGATCCAGATGATGGTCATATGAATAATCATCATCTTCTTTACAGTCTATCAAAGTCCACTCCTGAATATAGTAATTCCCATATAAAATATCTGAGTAATCCTTAAAGAAAACTATATACATATTATATTACCATATACATTATACACTTTACTTACATCACATGGGACTGCAGTGCTTAAGAGCTTTTTCTTGGTTGCATCATTTATGCAAATTAACCAACATGAAAATGTTTTTAACACAGCATTCTGGGCTTATTATGTAGCTTTGTCTGGAAAGCTAAAGTAGTATACTGCTCTTGGGAAGGAATATAATATTTCGCCCATAATTTACAACTGAAAACAAAAGATATAATTATTAAATACAAATATTATCAAAGTAGGTGAAAACAAATTAATGGTTTACAAACCAATAATTTGTTTTTAAATGGTAAAAGAGAAACAATAACTTGGACAAGAGATTTACTTTAAGGTTAGAACTTATTAAATAGTGTATATGTATATCGTATACGTACCACAAAATATACTTTACTGCGAATTTCGGAAACCTAAATAATTTAACGTTGTCAATGGCTGGTATGCTGTTGCACTTAGAACACTTTTTCTATTTTCTTTATCCGCCATTGCAGCGTAGATTTTAAGAGTCACTATTTCGTATTTCACTACGATTCATTGACTAACACATTGCACATCATATAAACGAAGGACATTAATCTCAACTCAACATCGTAAACTTGCAAAATCTTAGTAAAAGACACAAGCAAAACAAACATAACAACCAATCATGAACAACAATAATTTATACGGCGGCGCCATATTATGAGAAAAGAGAAATTTAATATACTCATTTAGGTATTTGGTGTTACCAGTAAAAATATAATTTTCTACTCATTGAAAATCAAAACAAAAAGAAAACATTTATTTTTCTTTTACTGTCAAGGATATGCTAATATAATAATGTAGGAAAATACGACAGGCATAGTTATCTTCCTATTGATTATTATTTCTGTATTCAAAAGTTTTGAGTGTAATTTATCTTTAGCAAAATCTTACTAATTACGAAACAAGACATTTATCTGACAAATGGCAATAATAAAATTCAGCCCCCGTAGGTATTTCATTCTGTCCATACAGAGTTGACCAGGCCTGATATGGTAGTATTAACGTCATTTTGGCAACGGAATGTCAATCGTTTTAGATAAGGATTGAAGGGTAGTGTCAGTAGTGTGCGAGCACACTCTACCTTTTACCTAATATGCAAGGGCTTTTGGCAATGTAAGAAAATTATTAGCAGATGCTGGGCTTTGTCTCCAAAAATGGTTCAATGGCTGTAAAAAATGGTGATCAAACCTATAATTTCTTACAATGCACTAGCTTGGTGAAAGTAAACCAGCCTAGTTACCAGAAAAAACAAACGCATGGTCGCAACTGAGGACTTGAGAATAACACCTGCCTCCAACCCTGGAGGCCATGTTGGACTTGACTCAATTGCAATTTCTCATAGGAGGAAGCTACGCTGTCATCTATTAGTTTTAGACTATTAAACTTTTAGAAAAACGATTCATATTTGACAAAAAACAATCCAGTTATACGAAACCATAGAAAGCTGACTATCAGAATTCAAAAGAACTGAAAAATTTAAAAATCTATTCTAAATATAAAAATCAGATACTAGCGTATTGAACTATTATGTACTACGTACGTAAGTACATATTACTTCAATGTACTGCCGACGGAAGCTTTTCGGGGGACTTAAACATACACAAAACAATACCACTAGGTACCCAAAATGTTTGAATGGGTAATGGGTTATCTAAGCGGCATCAACAATTGCAACCAGAGAAGTAAAGAATAAGTATATTCAAACACTGATAGTAAAGCGGTTTTACAGAACTTGACATGTTAAATGGAAATGTCAATTCCATTATTTATTATTATTATCCTTATTTTTTGTAAGCATTCTCGCTTACAAAAAATAAGTCCCCAAAATAAAGCTTGAAGTAATTTAGATGAGTTTTCTTAAATATTAATAATAAAGTATTACAAACGGATGTTGCAAATGTCTTACGCCTCAACATCTTAAAACATGCACCTATAAAACCTATTAAAATAAAGAGTCCTCATGCGACAGGACCGTCCTTTTCGAGTAGAGATAAGAAATAGTGCGCATACAAAATGGCGAGTGGTAAGGATAACCATAAGAGAATTTATATAACTTAACCAAATCTTCAACAACCATATGGATGTTCCCTAATTTGTTAGGCTTCAAATAATGTTTTTATAAAACCGATATTTCTCAATATTCACCACATGAATTTAATGGTCCTTTCTCATATTCCTCAGCAAGCAAATTATTCAGATGCATTTAAATCTAAAACCATTCTCGCAATATTTTCTGTGGCCAGTCTCTCTATTGATAGATACATTTTTCATTTCCTCCGGTGACTATATAGATGAAACATTTAAGATTCTTCTAAATTGTTCTCTAACAGTAACCAATTATATCATCAACTTCTTTGCCGTTGCGGGTGTTTTTCCATTACTGTGACGTAAAGCCTTCAGTGTTCAGTAATGGACTTCAATAGGCTGTTACCGAAACGATAAGAGTGTGAGGTTACTTCTGGTGTCCCACAAGGTATTCTCTCGTGCTTTTTTACTTCGAAGTACAGTTCAACTGATGGTGAGTACTTGATACATGTTCCCTATCTATCCTCGATTAATAATCAAAATGTTGATGCGTAGTCACACCTAAGTATCTGGTATTAATTGTCATTCTGCTGCCGAGCTTGGTGATTAGAGCATATTTTTTCATACTTTTTATAAATTGTAGAAATCCAGATGTACTAGGGGAATGTTAATGAGCTAGAGACAAATTTTATTTATATTATTGGAGCTCAGATAAATGAATACACACGGATCAATATTGTTTAAATGGTTTTATTGAAATTGTTACATGTTAAATTTTGCACTTTTCTTTACTCATTTATGATACTTAGTTAAAAATCAAAACATACACCGTTTGGTAATAAATGCTATCATAACTCGTAAGGACTGAATGAAGATTTTCAATGGTCCATCAAATGTGACTTATGTAATAAGATAGTATATGTAACATTGGCGGAGATTATAAGTGATGTATTCCTTGAACGTGGCTCTGGTGCGACTGGAACTACAGTGCAGACGTCCCCACCAGCAAGTTCCACATCACACACCAAATACATATTTAGAACCGATCTCTAACATACTGATAAAGAAATATACAAAGCTATCACATTAAATTAACATAATATAATTATAAACATATTTATGTAATCTAAAATTAATCCAAAAGAGAACAAAAAATAAATCACACAGCACTTTCAGTGTCTGACACAGCAGAAAAATAAATCACTCTGATTGCACATAGACGGGTAGTCCGGAGCGTGAGCGCCGAAATAACTTTACCACTATTAATAATATCACTAACCGCATTCACACAGTACACAGTGGTATACAAGATCATTGAGAAGTTGGGTAAACTCAGTCAACAGCAGAATTTGGTAATGTATTCACGACAAGTGGAAGGAATGCTGTCCTTCTGAGGCAGCGAGGCGCAACTTGGCGCGCATCACTTCAGCACTACTATAGTCCGGCAGCTTTAGATAATTGACACAAGTCATCACCGACGGCAGATATTCATCCGGGTCGAGTGAAGACTCCAGTGACTTGCGCACTACGGTTAATGGTGGGTTCAGTGCTTTGAATCCTGGAAATAACATTACGATAAAACCTCAATATTATTAGCATGTGCTACGAAAATAGCAAATTGTCGATTATTTATAGCCCACAACCACCTGTACATACTGTCTATATCAGGATCATAACTCATAATCTGGAAGATTGAATTTACAATTTAGTAAAAAAATTAATTCTAAAATAACATGAAAAATCAATTAATTATATTTTTAATTTTTCTTAATCATTTTTAGTACTTTAAAAAAATTACAAAACTTACAACTTCTCTATAGTCTAAGCCTGGTATTGATATTCATATGTACTTCAGAGAGACTTGCCCAAAATGAATCAAAACATTAGGCTATATTGTGATCATATTGAAACAAAAGAAAGAAAAAAAAATACATTTTACAAATCATAATTTTAAACCTAAAACTTTTAATCTTAAGTTCGAACTGAAATTATACAAAAAGTTAAATATTCTCTTAAGGAAGCTCTGATGAAAGTAACTTAAGTTTAAATAATAAAGAACACGAAATCTGTGTACATAACGACAGCTATCAGTTAACTGAAGAATAGAGAGATGACCCGATACAAGTACTGATATAAGAACTAAGTTTTGTGGCAAAATATGAGACAAGCCATGTTGTAGTGCAGTCGATTTGTGATTAATAGAAATGATGTTGAACTTGTCATTAATGTAATGTAAGTCCCTTGTAATGTTTTCCTAAAATTCTTATGGCCCAAGAGCCCTCGCTTAAAAAACTGTTTAAATTTACTAAGGCTCATTTTTTTTATAGTTCAATATAATGGTCGTGCACTCAAACATACTGCGGTCAGTCAAGCAAAACAGAACAGGTGTATCAGGTGCGTTATCAAAGGTGTTGTACCTGCTGAGGTGATAAAATGAATTTACAAAGGCTGAAAATGTCCTTGTCCCGTTAAATCGATGACTGACTATTTAGTTATGTTAAAAATAATATATAATACCATAAAATTAAATTATAAATATATATTATTTTTTACACATACCGAGTACATGGCAGCCGACTGACCAGCTCCGTCCTCATATTCAGCTAACTGATGTTTTATTTAAATGCAATATACAAGTTGTATAACAATTTTCAGCCTTAGTCAATTCATTTTATTACTTCGGCAGCTACGACACCTGTGATAGCGCACCCGAGTCACCTGTTCTGAGTGTCCCTTCACTGACCGCAGGATATTTGTATGCATGACCATTGTAATGAACTATAAAAAAACTAGCCTTAGTAAATTTAAACAGCTTTTTAGGCGCGGGCTCTCCGTCTATTACAACCCACCCCCGGTTTCGTAAAACTACTCCAAAGGAAAATGTCAGTTAAATTTTATCACATTGAACAGATAAGTAACATCTATAAAATGACCTGGATTTATATGAGACAATAACGTTTAAGAGTGTATAATATCTTCACAATTCATAAGGATCTATGTACCTTTAAATGGACACTTAAAACACGTAGATTTTTGATCCTAAAAAATTATGTTACAGTTAAAAACAATGGTAAATATTATGATAATTTTTAATCGTGATTATTTACCGGACATTTTCTTTTTCGTTTTAAATAAAAAGTGACAGTCGGAAAAAATATTAGGGTGGCAAGTTACCTCCAGTGGGCAGTCGCGGACTGCCGGTGACAAACTGTAGGAAGAGCCGTTGCTCTTCACGGTTGTACGAGGCCAGGATATCGATGAGCATGCGTATGGCGCGCGACTCCGCCGTGTAGCCGTGGTCGGGCCGAATGCACTCTGCCAGCATGCGCGGATCCCAGCGTTGATCACGCCCTCCTTCAATACAATATATTTATTTATGTTTATGTTCTTATATAATAATTTTTATGAACATTTTAAAGCATTATCGACATTATAGAGTTTATCAATTATAGTCATGCCAAATATGATATAACAATAACAATTATTTAATCTAATGCACCAGATATAAAATTTCCAGTCAAGCGATTTGAAACACAGTCAAAGATGCAACGCAGGCACTACGATTACTCGCCTATCAAGCTTAGTAAATAAGGTGATGAAACATAACGCGGGGAGGCCCGTGTCCAGCAGTGGACTAGCGGCGGACTGATCAAAAGAAGACTCATTTGTAAAACAAATGGATGGGGACTTTTTCGCTACAACTCTACATTTCAAACCAAAATTAAATTTATATTTGTTTTAAATTACTTAATTTTACATTTATTTCTTCTTCTTACATTTTTTAATTACATTCTTCTAGTTTTAAATTTTTAATAAATATTTTATATATATATATATATATATATATATATATATATATATATATATATATATATATACAAGTAGGTACTTTAAATTAGTTTCATTCATGAAGAAAATAAATAATATAGTATATTATAGGCGAAAAGAAACACCGTACCTGACGGACTGCCACAGAATACTTGCTCCAACTCTTCAGGATAGAATATCTTGAGATTAGCTAACGGGAATACTGATTCAAATCCTTCTTTGAAAGCCTCCATTTGTTTCACCACTCCTGTAACAAATGAAAATAAAATGAAAATTTAAAATTAGTTCCTTTATCTGAAACTTGTTTGTTAACTATATTTATCACATTTTTACTAAAACACAAGAGAACTTTTGTCACTGAAGGAGTCCATTGACACCAGTAACCAACTATTAACAAAGGTGGCGTCCGATGCGTTGCCATGTCTAAGGACCAGGATGGCATGCCTCACACCCTCTCCTTATATTGACTATGTACTGCTGCTTAGCGACATGCATAGGTAACATGGGAGACTAACCACCTTGAACTTTTGTCACTTAAATATATTATAATTAATAGAATCAGGCGTTACTTTGCACAAATCCATTATATTGTTAAAAATTAATTCATTGACTTCCGCGTAATGAAATTAAATAATGTGTCCTGCCCAGTCTGAAGAGAACCTCCCCAATGCCAGCACCACCACATTAGGAATGATACACCACTCTCGATAATACGACACGTGTTTCGCGTCTACAAGAGGCATCCTCAGGTGAAGTAGACTCCGTAATTGTGGGTCATCATGGGCAAAAAAATATTCTATCTCTCAAGTTAGACCAAATTGCACACGGTGTGCAAATTTTATTAAAATCGGTTAAGTAGTTTAGGAGTCCATCGCGGACAAACGTGACACGTAATTTATATATATTAAGATATTGCATGTATACCTTCATAGAGCAGCCAGTGTGTGACGAGTGAGATGTAGTTGTGTAGGTTGTGCGCGGTGACGGGCAGGTCGCGGCCGCCGCGTCGCAGCTCCGTGCAGCCGTCTCCCGGCAGGATAAAGTCCAGACCCAACTCTTCGATGGGGCACCCGTCCAGCTCTAGAGCGTTTATCTGTAATGAAATTTTGTTATTGTAATCTAAGTAAATAAACATAATATCTAATACCTAATTTCTGTTATGTCTCGGGTCAAACACAATATTTTTTATGGGATGTTAAAAAGAAATTGGTAAATAGTAGTTAAAAACGTCATTGTTTCTTTTAATTAAATATCTTATTTGTTTAATTTTAACTAATAATCTAATTGAGATTAAAATGAAAAGTCGATTAAATTTTGGGACTAAAAAAAGCTTGTTGAGTGGTAATTTGTTAATGCTGGAGTTAATTACCACTTAACCATCTTCTAATTGTAGAATTAGTAGAACAGATACTTTTACACGATATTTTCTTGAAATGTTTATATGCAAATAAATAACATTAAACACTTCAAGAACAAAACGTACGCGGGGTGATCCAAAAGTAATGATAATCGGTTACTTCAGGTCCGCATAAAAATCCAAAAAAAATTTTTTTTTGCTTGCTTATAGATTCACTACGTCAGTCTAAAGCCCCATTTACATTCAGCCACTGCCACTGCTCCTCGCGCTGCCGGCAATACTTCCCTAAATACTGCCGTAGCAGGATCGCGGGAAGTGTGTATTCACACTCTGCCCTACCACTCACATCGCTTTCGGCTTTCGACTATGGCGGACGTCGAAATAATTACAGCGTCCGCGCTGTGTCTTCTTGCAATACAAAATTATGTTAATAATTTAAAAAGATATCAAGTTCAAAAGAAGATAGATAGATAGATAGAAAATTTATTTGCTTAAAAACATGGTACATAAGATGATCAATGACGTGGAACTGACATGTTTTGCCATAATTGGCATGGAAAAATGATATGAAATACAGCTAATTACACAAACCCGATGTTGCTTAAAAGTTAGGTACACACATTCTTTTTGAATTCAAATATTATGTACAATTAAATACTTATACAGATCCACTCTATTTGAATTCTTATACAGTAAATTGTTCATAAATTATTAATTGAATTATTATATTATTGTTACATAAATAATATTAAATATTATATGAGATTAGTTAAGCTATTATTATTTTATTAATTACACTTCAGTATAAACTAATTCGTAATTTTAATTACAATAAAATTATAATTTAAAAATCTCAGGCTATTATGCAAATATTACCTTTTAACTTATTTTACATTTTAATTAATAAATAATCAATATGAGTTACTAATCTTTTTTAGAAATAAAATGTCAATGTTTATTAATTCCTTAAACTAAATTTTATATTAATATAATAAATTTGACGAATTTATAATTAATTATGTACATAGGTACTATGTTAACTCAAAAAAGAAAATTCGTATTCGTAGAAGATGATGAATTGTGGTTTTTATCGTTGAAATCCCATATAGTTTTTTCTGATTCCAGCAGTTCTAAAAACTTTATTGTATTTTCATTAATCCACTCGAAAGGCATTTTGGTAGATCGTATTTATTTAATAACAGGACGGCACGCACGTCCGTTCATCCAGGCGCTTGTCGCGAAGTGAGCGATGGAGCTGAATGTGAACACACACTGCCGCTCGCGCTGCCCGTCCTTTGACTTCCGCACGAAAAACCGACATTTCGGGCAGTGTCAGCGGCAGCGGCAGTGTCAGCGCGAGTAGCCTGTTTACATACTGCCCTACTCACTGCCCTGCTCACTTCCCTGCCCAAACGGGCTGAATGTAAATGGGGCATAAAAAAGTCATATAAATAGATCACGATTTCCGGGAGATACATTCATTTGAATACGAACTGTCAAAGAGATAACATCAACATGGAGAAAAACGAAATTAGAGCAGTCATCAAGTACCTCTGTTTGAAAAAAATGTCTTCAAAAGACATACACAGTGACTTAGTGGAAACATTGGGGGACTCTGCTCCTCCATATTCTACAGTTGCACGCTGGGCCAAGGAGTTTAAACTGGGCAGAACATCCACTGAAGATGAACACGGAACATGGACGCCCATCCACGTCCCTCACTGAAGACAACGTGAAAAAAGTCGAAGATGTTGTGTTGGCAGATTGAAGAGTGACCATCAGGCATGTAGCTGAGGTCACAGGGATATCATATGGCAGCGTTCAAATAATCCTTGCGAACGAGTTGCATATGAAAAAGGTCTCTGCGCGTTGGGTACCCAGAATGTTAACCGACGAGCAAAAGAAAAATCGAGTTGACATTTCGGGGGTCAATCTCGAAAAGTTCCAAGCAGATCAAGAAAATTTTTTGTTCCGATTTGTGACTATGGATGAGACCTGGATCCACCATTTTGATCCTGAAACGAAACAACAATCGATGACTTGGAAGCGAGCCTCCTCACCGACACCAAAGAAATTCAAAGTTTCAAGTTCGGCGGGAAAGGTTATGGCATCTGTTTTTTGGGACGCTCAAGGCATAATTATGGTGGAATATTTGGAAAAGGGAGCCACTATTACGGGCTCTTACTACGCAGACCAAATAAGAAGATTACGGGAGGCCATTAAGGAAAAAAGACGCGGCAAACTGCGAGCTGGAGTGCTGTTTCACCAAGACAACGCACCGGCTCACAAAGCCGCAGTTGCGAACTGCTCGAACACCCACCCTATTCGCCATATCTAGCTCCTAGTGACTTCTACCTCTTTCCTCGGCTCAAGGAACGCCTCCGAGGCAAGAAATTCGAAGACGATAGCGAAGTAATGGCCGCTGTTGAAGCGTTTTGGGAGGGTCAAAAAACATTAACAAACAAAACACAAAGAACATTAAAATACCTAAACATAAAATCAGTAGTGAAACTTACATACCTAAAATCAGCTGATAAAGGGTCAAAAACGCGCGGACGCTGAAATCTTTTTATCTAGCTCGGTACGAAAATGCATTAGGTATTACTGTATTTACGCTCACTCTACCCTTCTCTTTCTCACACGCGCTGCTGCCGCCCGGCCGATTCGTGTCGCCTCGCAATTTACAATGCCAACATGTATGAAATTCTCCAAATTACGGGAAAAATTATGTTGGTTGGGGATTTTGTGGGGATTGATATTGCGGGGATTTTGAAAATCGATTGCCCAGGTCAACTCAGAACCTTCTTTTAAGGAATCTAAATACTTATTTTAATTTTTTTGTTAGGTTACTTATGAATATCGAATGACTCCCTTTTTTAATTATCTTCTTGCACTACATTTAATTTTCGGATTTCTTTTGGCAACTTTTGTATATCATTTAATGCTTTTCATTTCTTTATTTTATTAATTTAACAGCAGAGTAAGGGGGGGGGGTAAAGGAACGAATAAAAAATACTCTATTTTGTGAAATTGTTGTAACAAAAATATGTAAATTGTAAAAAGAATCGGTAAAAAGAAAAAAATGTTAGTTAAAAAATAAATCTTATAAAATTAGTTGAAAATTGTTTCATTACTTAAAATAAAATTGAGGGGAATTTGACATTGATTTTCGGGGAATTTGACATATAGGTGTTGCTGTAACATGTGCAGCGTTGCCAAACCGAAGTTTACTAAAGTTGGAAGGCGAAATAAGAATTAGAGGCGGCAATCATAATAAAAGTTGTAATTTTAATAGTTTTGACTTACCTCTTTTAAAAATCAAAGTATTGGACGGATTAAAGAAAGGAAAGTCAATTAAAATAAAGTAAAAGAATTATTTTTAGATTAATTCTGATAGATTAGTACATAACTGAATACATCAGAATAATAAACATACCTACACGATGGATAATTTAAGTGAATTTTTCATTAGCGGGGATTTTTCATTATTTAACATTAACCTGTGAATTCGAATTAAAGTGGCTAGGTGGAGACTAGTCCAGTGGCAAAATAGTAGCTTAAGTAGATAAGTTAGGTATTTAAACAAGTGTTGTAAATTATTAGGTATCGGTATGATTGTGGGCTGCGGTACATAAGTAGATAATTTCGTTTATCTACTCATGTGGCTGCGGGCCGCACGGATTCAGCGTCGCGCGTCTTGTCAGATCGATTTTAGGTATTTAAGTTTCACAGCTGGTTTTATGTTTAGGTATTTTCATGATTTTTTAAATGTAATTATCGTTTTATTTAGCTGTAGTAACAGAGCGTGAATAAAGCTAATTAAACGTTGTAAAAAAATGATTTATTTTCATCGGGATCGATTTATTTTTTTGTCACATCATCAAAAATATCCTTAGTACTATCCTCTGTCTTCGTTTTCGGGAGCGTTTCACTAACACCCGGTATGTATACAAAAATGTCCAATCTTAATTCCATTGCTTTTTTATAGAATAAGGATGGACCTGATGGAAAGTGGATGATGTGGCCCATATACATCTAGATTTATCCTTAATAAAGAATCAAAATGCAGGTGCGTTGTTACCACTGAGACTAAGATGGAATGCCTAAAAATGTAAAAAGGATCTCCAGTTCTCTACACTCACCATACAAAACACAGGAGCACTATAGTTCGGCCGTTCAGAGAATGCGTTCCTGATACGTCGCGATTGAACTGACGACGTAACTTTGTAATGGCGTTGCAGTTACGATAAAAATATTTTTGCTGGTTGTTTACCGTTTTAACAATTGATGAGCATTAAAACAACATTATTATATCAATAATTAACAAATGTTCTAATTTTGTGCCAAACTGAGTGTCAAATAAGTTGGTAAACAATATTTTTCTAAATCTACACCGCGCTATTACAAGGTTATGTCAGCGCTTTATATTTGTAGTGCTGTTCTAACAATAAAAGGCAATAACAGTATCGTAATCTGTTCTTATACAGTTATACTTTATAAAATAATACGTTTTGTTTTTCTTTTTAAGAATTTGAAAATAACGGACTATAAGATAACTTTTATTAAATATAAAAATAAAACTACGACCAAACCGAACGCGCGAAAGAAAGTAGCATTTTTATATTTAGGTTGAAAATGGTAACCCCAAATGGCGTTATGGGCCGCCATTTTGTGACGCTAAAACAGTCGTCTGTTGTCGTTTCGTGCGCATAGACCACGTTCTTCAAGTGTTTTCGATCTGTTTTTATTTGATTACCCGGCTTTCGTTTAATGGACTGTTTCTGTTTTTCAAACTGACATCGGCACTAAATCGGACTTCGATTGTGTTTTGTATTGCGTTCTTTTTACTTTTGGTGCATAATAATGCCTAAACGTGGACAAACATTGAAAAGTAGAGCCCGTGAGTTAATCATCAAGCTGCAAGATTACTTTGAGCGGGAGCGGCAAAATGGCGGACCCCTGTTACCTGTCGAACAAGTACAAGAACGCGTCTCTCAGGCGCTTGGAGTTACCAAACGAACGATAACAAATATTAATAAAGAAAAGCTCGGTTCTACTGGCACGGAAGATAATACTCCGAAGAAGAAACGTAGAACTAAACCCGTGACAGATATTGACACCTTTGACGCCGATGCAATCAGAAATCATATATATGGTTACTATTCCAGAAATGAATATCTCAACAGGAAGAAGCTTTTGAAGAAATGGTGGTGGTGACAAACAAAAGGCATTGACGCAAATATGCAGATGATAAAACCAGAGCTAATTAAATTAGTTGAAGAAAATAAAGCGGCAAATGTGTGATATGAAATCGATGAACTGGCTCTGGAGTACGGTCATCACGTTTTAAGAATTCCACCGTATCATTGCCAATATAACGCGATTGAGCTAATCTGGGCTCAAATAAAAGGTTACGCCGCCCGCCACAATAATTCCCCGCCATTCAGCACGAAAAAGATGATGACCCTATTAAAAGAAGCCTGCGGGGAAGTCACAAGAGATGACTGGGCAAAGGTTGTTGAGAAGACTAAAAACCTGATTGTGGAACATTTTGACCGAGATATCAGGATTGATTCTGTTATTGATAATAATATAATTATACATGTAGGCGAAGATGATGATGAAGACACCACCTCCTCAAGCGAATCGGAATCTGATTAATATTCTGTACGCACATTCAATTCAATGTACTTTATTGCATAGAAATACAGATTGTAACTTTGTAACAAAGAATAAATAAAACAATTTTATTATATTACTATTACCTTTTTTTGGTTTCCACTTAAATTACTAAAACATAAATTTTAAATGATTCCGCCAATTTAAAACGAAAATAATCTTAAAAATAACGCGGCGGTTCATTTTGGAGGAACGGTAACGAACTCAGTGTTATGTTGTGCCCATCACTAGTCGTGACTAACTGATAGGTGTCAGGAACGCATTCTCTGAACGGCCGAACTATAAGCGGCTACTTTAGGCTGGTATTCTGTGAGAGCGTGGTCTTCTCTGGTCGGGCCGACTCATTCGTGCAACAACCATAATATACCTGGCATCACGGCTCTACCACCTTGATAAACCCGCTCTACCACATTCTTTGATGATGGCCAGCAAATTTTACATTAGGGAATTTTGGCACTGCACTCGATGAATACACTTACAGGTACAATACGGTGAGCGCTAGTGTACATACAGGCAGGCGGCTAACTGACGTTGCACTAGTGTAGGTACATCAGGTTGACTCACTAGATGAACGCGCTCGTATGCAGGCGAGTGAGTCCGCGGGTGAACGCACTCGTGCGCAAGCGGGTGAGACACTGGGTGCGCGCGTTCGTTATGCAGGCGGGTGAGTATGCGTGTGAGCGCGCTCGTGCGCAGGCGGGTGAGACAGTGGGAGCCCGCGGTGGTATGCAGGCGGGTAACCGACCAGATGCGCGCGTTCGTATTGTTGCGCGCCTAAGTTGACATCAGGTACCTGGCACTAGCGCCATCTAGTGTCGGGGACCAGAGCGAGGAGGGCTTCCTAGAAAATGTCAATCTTGATCTTTCGACCAACAGCGCCATCTAGTATCGAACAGAAGAATTAAGCTTTCTAGAAGCCCCACACTCGAACTTTCTGCGCCTGAGCCCTTTATTTACTGGAATATTCTGGATGTTTTCGTGGAAGAGCCCTAATAAAGCCGTTGATAGCCGCGATAGAAATCCTGTGAATTCTCCCATGCATTAAATATATATTTAATCAGCTTAACACCAGTATCAGTTGTCGAGCGACCCCTTGTGAAACCAAATTGATTTCCCTTGTGAAACCAAATTGATTTTTATGAAGTAAATTATTTACATTAAAAAAATTTAACATTTGATCAAGAATAATTTTTTCATCGCGGCAGTATTGAATTGCGGCCAGACAAGCGAAGCTTCGGAGCGAAATAAAGTGAATCAGTGTGGTTAATTATTAGTGTTTTAAGTTTTAATTGGTGTTAGGTAATAAAAGTGTAAATTTTGGTAATTCAACCGGCAGTTTTTATTGTCACGAACCTCAAGTTCGTAACAGTATGCAGGCGGGTGAGACACTGGGAGCGCGCGGTGGTATGCAGGCGGGTAACTCACAAGGTGCGCGCGTTCGTATGCAAGCGGGTGACTCACCAGGTGCGCGCGCTGGTCGGGCGTGTGGCGCGCGTCGGCGGCGAGGAGGCGCGCGCGCTCGGCCACGCGGCGCAGGCGGCACAGCGAGCGCCACAGCTCCGGCGCCACGTGCCGCACGTCGCTCAGCCCCAGCCAGCGCTGCTCACTCACCAGCCACCGGTACATCGACACCGACAGCGGGATGTCCACCTGACACACACCACACATAAATACAAAATCGGTCTAAGAATATCCACTATATGGCCAACAGGGTCAAACAAGCCAGCCGACAGGCAGCAGCATCCTGCTTATAATGTAATAATAGTAAAAAATGCGTTTGCGAACTAGCCAGCCAAGCGTAGCTACTATGGCAAATATGTTCAAGAGTGGAATTTGATAGACTGTAATGTGATAATGAAAAATAATTCATCAAACTCATCCAGACCACCAAACACAGGTAATCCTCCGTCAGAGGCCGTATGTGTATAAGTCAGGGTAAAATAGATTACAGGCGAGAAGCAGCGTCAAAAGTACGGTGTTGTACTTGTTAACAATTTAAGATATCCAATGATGATTTATATATATTATTTTTAAATTTCTTGTAGTTGACATTAATGTTAATAGAAATTAAAAATAAACCTAATTACGCGACATTGGTTAATTTTGTCCCTGTTTACACCGGGTGAAAAAATGTTTGAATTTACATTTGACTAGTAATTAAATGAAACTACTTAACTACTTACGAAATGAAACTACTTATTTTGATAGTATTGAACTTACCATCCTAGAATCCATAACTGCTTTAGCCATGAACTTGCCCAAAAACCGGAATTTAGCTTTGACTCGAGACAAATGTGAGGCTCTTGCGTTGCGTCCGACCGCCTGCGGGAACAAGCCGCACGGCCATGTAACATATGTTGCATCTGGAGCCGGGGAAGGAATTGAAGTTTCCTTTTCGAGATCCGAAGGCTGAGGAGAGCGATCCTCATCGAGACTTAGTGCATCGCGTACTGAGGACGCGAGTCGAGTGGCTGCGTCCGACGATCTGTCTGTTACGACCGGCGGTTGGCTCTTGACAATTTCGCCTCCAAACGAAGTAGGTTTCTGCTTGAAGTTCTCGCTTCCGTGCCATAAGTCTAGATCGGCGCGTTGCAGTTCCTGTCAATTTAGTGAAAAATATAGTTATAATATCGATTTTAGAAAAATATCTGATTTCTATATTGTTCATATAGAGTAATTAGTTTGACTGCCTCGTTTGGCCTAGGTTGGACCAATAGTTCGGAAAAACTACAAGAAAAAGCAAGAAGAATATTATGGAAATATTGGTGAAAAGTTGATTGCATTTTCTGGGGAAATTTGTTTTAAATTAGTACTATTAGTATTTTATTGAAGTTCTTGCAGTGTTCACCTTAAGCACAGGGAAATCAAGATACAGTACATTTAAAAGTTCATACGATAGGCGTCGAGACCGGGATCGATCAAGCGTGGCCCGTTAATCTTAGTCGTCTACGCTTTCTTTAAGAAACTTGTGTGTGTGTGGAATCGAACACACCCACCTCGTTGTCCGAACGGTGCGGATGCGGTGCTGGTCTGTAATCATGGAGACGCAAGACCCATGTCCTCAATAGTTTTGTTGGTTAGGCCGTAAGCGCGGCAGCTTATCATGCGGGACCACGTGCGTTCGAATCCTGGGTCGAGTCAAAATCAGTTTTTGGATTTTTCTGTCAAGAAATTGTCAGAAGCAGCCCGGAGCTATATGTTGGCGGTGTATTATACCCTTGTCCTGGAAAGCACGTAAAGCCGTTGGTTCTGCGCCTGATTTCTCTCCGGTCATGTCGGGCTTCAGTTCCATTGTACTATGAGTGTGAAAATATCGTGCACCCCGTACTTGTGTCTGTGCACATACTCGTGCAATATGTGCAATATTTAAATGTTTTCATACTGTATGCATATCGCTTTACCCAATTTTGAGTCCTTAAAGCGTCGAGACTGTAAGTGCACCGCAAAATAAAAAGTTTTGGTACACCTGATTTAGAATGAGTTTCCAACATGTTGAAATGTTAAATATACGAGTAGGTTTAATTCATCAAAGTTGTTATTATATAATAAGTTAGTAACAGGAAGCCTGATTTATAAGATATCTTTTCATCTTCTTCGAATTTTTGAAGTTAGCTTATAAGATATATACAGGGTTATTTTGCAATATACTCTGCCCAATTTCTAAAGAAGGTAATTAATTAAGAAAATCTGAAATATTCTATACTTATGTTTTAGATTCAGAATGCGTGGTAATATGTTATTTTAATTGATTGTCAATCATAAATATCTAACGCTTACTATTTTACTACGCATTCACATATTCGTAAGAGTCGCTTTGTCGGTAAAAACGTTGTGAATTGAATTGCACCACTGAACTCTATATATACAAGTACGCTGGACTGGCTATACCATACAAAATGACTGTGCCAATTTGAAGCGCCGCTAAAGGATGTCTTGAAAAATAAAATTGACATAATATGCCAAAGTATGTTGTCTTATTCATATTGTCATATTTAATAAGTCTGTATTTTGAACTTTTAAACTAAAAAACGAAAGTATTTTATGTTGTTTCATTGTTTATAATATTAGTTACATAATAAGAATTATTTTTATTAATAATGAGAGGGTGCGTAATCTGTAAAACTCGTTACCAAAAGGGAAGTGGTATAACATTTCACAAATAAGTGAATTTGCAGTAAATATTAAAAAAATTAAAACTATTTGATAATATATGTACTTAGAAATTTGTTACTAATCTTAAAATCATATATACCAACATGTTTGACTGTATATTATTGAGTTTTAATAAACAACAAAATTTAATAGGGTTGTCGAGTTCCTTGTCTATAATACTTATCGATGTTCTTTCCTACCCATATCTGTTAACAAACAAAGTCACCAACAACAGATGATTATCAAATGTTTATTAATTAAGAGGTTTCCAACTGAACCTAGACTAAAATTATAGCTTAAAATCATAAATATTGTGAATTAGCGTCCGAAACAAAATGATCATATTTGTTCCAAACATTTCACAGACGACTGTTTTATTAGACATGAGAACTGCACCACTTTGAAAAAGTGCAGTATACCGACAATATTTTCTGGTAGTACCAGTACCAAGCACTACCAACTACCAAGTACTAAGTATTAGATTATTATTTCGAATGTTTTTTTTTTAATTTCTTCTTTCCTCATTTTCCACAAAACTCAAGGGCCATAGCCATGTGTCGAAAGGTCGCCTGATGATGTTGAGCCACGTTGGATGTATGTTAGTGGGCTGCGGCTGGAGGAGATTCCTCTCCCTGTACCGCTGTAGTCGAGGTGGAGTCGTAAAGGAAGAGGAGTGTTGGTATGGCGATTGGCGATGCGCCACTCAACTGTCTTTCGCGACTTTGGTGAGGCTACACCATATGATGCTTCCGAGTGCTCATTTTTACCTGGCTTCATTTACATATCGGGCTCAGTAATTGATAATTTCAGTTTTTTTAATATTGTAATTTTAATTTCGAAAATGCCGTTGTAAATAGATAACTATGTAATTCAAAGTTTATATTTTTTTATATTATCTTGCTTACTTGCGCATTGCTGCCGCAGGCAGGCAAGCCACAGAAGTAATTGTGGAAATATCGCTAAAAATGTGGAACAGTTATATTGTATAATTAGGAATGATAATACAAACTACCCTGAGGGAGTTTTCAGTTAATTGTACCATGCATATAACCTTCCCACAAGTGCAACCAATAAGTTGACTAAGTTTTTCTGCAATCTGATGAACGGTATGGCATCGTAGAAAGTACGAACAAACATAAATTTTTATGTAGTAGAAAATATTTTACTGTCTGTAGACAGACCCGTAGTTGATTAGAATAGGCGTTATTATAGCAGCTGATTTGTTTTTTATAACACTAAAACTAAATGAACGGTTGACAATAAATTATTCTAGAAATTATGTTTTTATTTTTATTTTGTGTACTTAGTTTAATCTTAATAATTTTTTAGTTGAATGGTTAAAAGCTATGATGGCTATCCGAGTACAGAACCAGAGTACAAAACTAATCCAACTGTAGAGATGTGTAAGACAGGTTGACGTAATATCCCCGAAATACTTTACCGCTGCATTGGTAAACGTTTTCAACCTACTGGACTGGTAAGGATACGGTATTAACGTCAATGTCATATACGTCACTCACCTTCGATTTTCCGACAATATCGTACTTACGGCACAATCGCTGGAGGACATACGCACTATGTTTAATGACCTCAATAGTGTCTCCCAACGGATAGGTCTTAAGATGAACATGGACAAAACAAAAGTCATGTGTAATATCTATGTCACACCTATGCCGGTGGTTTTTGAGAGCACTTAGCTGAAGTTGTTGATGAGTATTTTTATTGGGACAAATAGTCCGACTAGGTAAGTTCAACTTCAACCGACATGTCAATCGACGGATTCAACTCGGCTGGGCAGCGTTCGGGAGATTACAAAACATCTTCTCGTCAGGAATACCTCAAAACTAGATTGTACAACCAATGAGTGTTGCCAGTGATGAAATATGGATCTGAGACGAGGTCTTACACTGCTGTCCGTATGAGGAAGCTCAAAGTCGCTCAACGAGCTATGAAGAGAGCTATGCTCAGGGGTTCCAAATTAGGAATGAGGATATCTGCAGCAGAACCAGAGTGATCGACATCGCCCAATGGATTAGTAAGCTGAAGCGGCAATTGACCGACCATATAGCTAGAAGAACCGAATACCGATGGGGAAAAAAGGTTCTCGAGTGGCAGCCTCGTACTGGCAGGTGAAGTGTAAGACGTTCCCCCACTAGATAGAGTCAAAACCTGGTAAGACATGCAGGAAGTTGATGGATGCAGGTAGCTCAAGACCGTGCTTTGTGGCATTCCTTGGGGGAGGCCTATATTCAGCAGTGGATTTGTGAAGGGTTTTATGATGATGAATGATAATGGCATTATATTAATTTATTAATGATACATAAAATAGAATGGACGTTACGGGTAGAGTCCATTCTCATTTATTTAGGTATAGGTAGGGTATAGAATTTTTATCGATATAATTTGGTACACTGTCTTATCCCTAGTATTAGTTCCGTGGACGTGCACTTCTGCTGTCAGCGCCAAAATGGCGGAAATCAAATCGTTTCATCATGTCACGGTGTATAGCCAGTCCAGCGTACTTGTATATATAAAGGTCAGTGAATTGCACAGATAAGCGCGCGTACCCGTAGTTGTTGCCCATAAATCACATTCAATTTGAGACCATTTCAAAAAAAAAAGTAGAAATCCTATTTACTTGTATTTTCAAAAACCGCTAAAAATTGAGTTTCTATTTGAAAAATAACCCTGTATAGTTTATTTCTACTGAATGTAATTCATGTGTGTAGGAGTGTGTAGAAAGGGTGCCCGGGTGTGTTTCGGTGATGTACCTGCGACACGAGCGCGTAGAACTCGAGCGTGGGCCCGAGGCCGGTGCCGACCTCGTTCTCGTACTGTATCTCGAGCAGCGCGCGCGTGTGCGCCGCCTCGTGCATGAGGTGCTCGGCCTGGCGCAGCACGGAGCGGCGGCGCACGGTGCGCTTGCGCCGGTCCAGCCGCGGTGCCACGCGCTCGTCGTGCGCCGCCGCGCCGCGCTCGCCGCCCGCCTCCAGCAGCCGCTGCAGCGCACGCTCGCGGTCGAACGACACCACGTGGAACAGCAGGTGCCGGCACTCGAACGGCAGCACGAACGGACTGTCACAATCAACCTTATATCATACCACCTACACCATCTTACATTTCAATATAAACGCTTCATTCTTAATACTTTTCTAAAAGTATTGTTATAATCGTTTTGAAAAGTATTATGGACTTTGTTTAGGGCCGCGCGATAAAATAAAATGTCTTCCTAGTATAAAGAATTGTACAATTTATACTTATCACTCATATTAATATAATCTATTCTATTTATTACACTCCTCCCCCAGATTGCTTTATAGAGATTTATTATAGTTGCCACGCTTGCAGACGGATTGGCAACCGCAGTTTCTTTTTTATTCGACTGTTATAAGACGCTGCTGCCCATCTCCTGTTTTAGTTCTCTTACGACACCCTTGGGACTGGGATATGTGGTATTGGATATCCTTACACCGTTATATTCATATTAGTAGTAACCAAAAGTTATTACATCTTTGAATTTTGTCTACATACATTCCAGAACTGAGCACAGACGTCACCTCACTAGGCATCCGCCCACAAGAAAGTTTTAGGGCAAGGAATAGTCTGTCACCGTGCCCCAACATTATTCGCTGACTTCACATGTCTTCGAATTATTTCTTTTTTCAATTTCTCAGATGTGCAAATTTTCTCACAATGTTTTGCTTCACTACCCGGCTCGTAGTAAATTAGCACTTACAATTGCAATAAACAATTTAATTAGTGCCAATGGGGAACAATCCCAGGTTTCTTGCATACTATGAAATTTACAGCAAGTGGTTAAGCTCTTGAGTTACACGGACTATTTAGTCCACAGTACTCTCATCTGAAGTTGTTGATTAACTCTTATTAAGGGTGGCGGATTTTCAATCCTACTCTTAATTACACACGCATGCTCGCTACGGGACGGAAACGATAAGTGGACGGAACCGAATATATAAAAAAAATCCTCACCATGCATAAGCAATTTTCTTCAACCATGGCGGTAGGTTTCCAGTCATTATTACTAACGGATCTTGTAGCTGTCGATTTGCCTTTGCAGCAAGCTGCAAAGATGAAAATGTTTAAGTATAACATTTTAAGTCATAATAACTTACAAGTCAATATACATTATAACAGTTTGTAATGCACTTAAAATGACTAAAACATTTTTCATTAATGTTAAAAAGAATAATTGAAAACCTTGGCATTGATGAATTCAGAGTTTGGCACGAGCGGACGATGATCAGGCAGACAAGCGGCGCGGTGGTACAGCGTGTGCCAGTGACGGGACAAAGCGTGCAGCGCTCGCAGTAGTCCCAGCGCTGGGAGCGACGCGTCCTTTACCTCACCGCCCGTTATCAGCGGCGACCGTAGTATTACAACTAGGGGTGACTCGCGCACTGGAACTATGCCCTCTGAAATATAAATAAAAAAACTTGAATCAATTTAACTCTTTATTCAAATATATTGTGTTCGGTACCTTGTAAAATCAATGAGCTGATATCCGTACTTAGTAGTAATGATAACCCGAAATTTGTCTATACTAATAAACTATATATTTATAAAGACAAATTTTGGGTCATCATTCCTGTTACGACACGGGTGGCCGCGTTCAGAAGGTAGAAGTTAATTTATTACTTATCAAAAGTCCGGTGTTGAACATATACCTGCCACATATCTCGTCCTCATAATTCGTCAAAGTTGCCACACATGGCGGGCAAGTTGGCAAACATTTTTTTTATTCTTGTTATAAGGAAAATGTTGCTGCCCATCTCCTGTTTCAGCATCCCTTTATCTTACGTCTTAATTACTAATATTTAAGCCTTCCACTTATTTTTTTATTTCTGAGCTGTAAATTATTTGCCACCAAAGATATTTGCCCTAGATATTTAAAGTAACATCATGTTTTTATGTATATAATTGATATTATTGGTATTACGGCCAGTATGGAAATCTACCAAAACACGCAACAAAAGTTCCCTCACGCTTGCGTTATTATTGAAATATGAATAAACACATGTTGGAATTATCTTATAGTAGCTGCGCAAACTTTACAAGGAGGTAAAAAATTATCTACTAGGGACCCTGTATAAATTATATTTTACACAATGAACTTCAAATCTTACCGTACAAACGACACACATGTTGCGTGAATGCCTGTTTCAGTGAGTTCTCTTTAAGATACTATAATGTTGTTTATAGTCTACAAATAATTGTTATGAATGATTGTTATCATGCGTAAGCCTTCATGTTGCAGAAAAAATTTATTTTAGTGAAGTATTTTTTTTTAAAGAAAGAAAAGTGAGAGCATTTTGAGGTGATTATAAAATATTAAGGTAATAAATTATTATTAAAAGAATCATATTATACAAGAACAGCCTCTTTTGTCTACAGTTAGATATAGACCATTTCACAAATGTTTTGAAAGATTTGCCTGTAAAAGGCAAAGTTTATGAAGTTTGAGTTTGGGTCCCGCCATCAATCGTTCGCCAGGGCCTTGTCCGCCTACTCAGTAAAGTGGTGTATTTAGTAAGGTTTTGATGGTATATTTTTTCTTAAACGCTAATAAACTGAACATTGTAAAATAATAAGATTGTTGTTAGTGATATTGCTCGTGGATTGTTGGCACTCCCGCACTGTTTAGCTGCGGCATCTTAATGCGGCGTTATTGACTGCCTTGTTGCTCTAGTAGTTGTATTGGCGCGACTACTGATCATGAGATCCTGGGTTCGAATCCCGGGTCGGGCGAAAAAATTAATTATTGAGTTTTTCCGTCAAGAAATTCTCAATAGCTGCCCGGAGTCAGGAAGTTGGCGGTATATCACCCCCGTGCTTCGGAAGGCACGTAAAGGCGTTGGTCCTGCGCCTGATCTCTCTCCGGTTGTGTCGGTTTACGTCCCATCGGATTATGAGAGTGATGGAATAGAGAGTGCATAGAGAATAGAGAGTGCTTGCGCATACACTCGGGCACTATAATCCTGTCCTGCGCCGATGGGTAATCTTCGTTGAGCTTGGCATCCGTCATTGAAATTCGGTCTGGAGGACATTATTAGATGTTGTGGACGTACCGTTCCAGAGCAGGTCGGGCTTGCGGCGCGAGGAGAGCTTGGTGGTGTGGCCCTTGCCCTTGCGCGAGGCGGCCGCGTCGGCGCGCGCCGGCGCGCCCGCCTCCACCGCGCGGTAGTAGATCGTGTGCGTCTGCACCCAGATGCCCGCGTTCGCTGCCACAACACAAGCCAACATTTCAATATTCATTCGCCGCTACTCTACTACCTACTACACTCTATAATTCATTTATTTATTGTTACAAATAGTCCTGTGAGTCCTCTGATTCTAGAATTAGTTAAGAGTTAAAACATGCCGCACAATCAGAAACGAGCGTCTTCTTCCATTTGTTACTATTATTCAAGTGTACATACAACGTACAGAACAGAAAGGTGTGTGTATTTGTGTAGTAGAATAGCAATTAATTACTATTCTATTGGGGCGCATCTAAAAACAAGTGTTTATACATATTATGTGCGTGTGCGTTAGAGCTTGAGTGCGAGTGTACGCAGGCGTGCATGTGTATATCATTTAGTTATTGAAATTTTTTTTAACAATTTAATAATCGCATGTATAATGCGCGTTCAATAAGACTGGATATAAAACTGTCAAACACACTTTGCTATTGCTTACATTTTTTTATAGACTAAGAGTGACTGACACACGAGCACACAGACGACCTGATGGTAAGTGGATGCTGTAACCCACTGACATCGACATTTTATCCTCGCTTAAGAATCAAAACGCAAATGCGTTGTCACCCGTGAGGACTAAGATGGAATGCCTCGTTTCCAGTAAAAAAAGGTCTCCGGATCTCTACACTCACCATACGAAACACAGCAGTATTAAGCTGCCATTTTACGCTAGAGCGTCTTTCCCCGGCCGAGCTGACTATATATTTTTGTATATTCTACTGTATATTTATGTATAGTATTTTCATTTTTTGTATAGTCTACACAACTCATCTGAGTTGTTTAAAAAATTAATATTACAATATATTTTCATATGTTGTTTTTTAGATGTAAATAAAATAAAAAATTTGGCGTGTCACGAATTTCTCAAAAAGATTTTTGTAATTTTATATAAATATTCGTAACATTGAGTGATGTGATTATAATGTTACACATATTAATGTAAAAAATCAACAATTTTTAATGATAAATCTTGGTCAAATATATGCAGAAACATGTATACACAAATTGTTTGTGATAAAAATACTTATACTAATCAAGGTAAATGTAGTCCATAAGATTCAATAACGTATTCATAAAAGCAAAATAATAATAATAATAATAATAATTTAGTCAATATGACATTGCACGTAATGATTCAGTATATAAAATAGGTTACCTAGGGGAGTTTCTGTATCGGTATCAGCGTCCGTCTGCTCGCCGAATTGTCTCACGGCTTGATACACTGTCATGTTGTACGGCAACACGGTGTCGCCGATGAGGAACTCCAATTTATGTTCAGAACTGTAAAAAAAAAATCATACCATTTAAACTTTTTAAAATATATTACTTAACACCTAAAATATGTAGGAATAATAATAATCGAGGGTTGTGGTCCAAATTTTTTTTAAATAATAATACCTAAGATGGTACTAAATAAATAAATAGAGCATAAAAGCACATGAATTAAAATTCACTTTATTTAAAAATATTTGTCTTCGTCTTACGGTTACCGGAACCTGTAGCTGTAGTGAAAAAGATTGTATTTTAAGGGTTCTCCTGTTCTCTAACCTTCATGATATATATTATAGTTTGACTTATGGCAAAATAGCTTTTTCTATTAGTCTGCCGTTGTAGTAAGTAGTAACTATATTCACTGCGATAGCATTTTTATACTAAAAATAGAACCTTATCAGTTTGAGTTAAGGAAAAAAATCGAATAACTTATAACTTGCGGCAGAATAGCATTATTTCTTAACCTTATTTTCTTACCATTAGAGCAGGATATTCCTTTTTCTTAAACGACCACAAGTGGCATACTAAAACACTTTCAGAAGTAGAGCTCTCATAGGGTTTTTATATTCGGGTCGGACTATATATTTTACATGCCTTAATAAACGTAAGAATCGAGCATCCATCTTACATTAGCCTATCTAACATCAAGTTTTGTAAGTCTTCCGCTTCCTTTTCGGGAGAGAAGGCGGCGGAGGATAGCGACCCCTCCATTCCCAAAGACGGGCCACCATGGGGCAGCAGGCGCTGCCAATATGCGACAGATATGCGTAGGCTTTTCCCCGTTTAAAAGAAATTGTGATAAGAAAGGATGTTTACTCGGTGGGGTGTTGGTGGGGCGGCGTGGCGAGCGAGTCCTCGACGTCGTCGTCGGAGGCCGCATCGTCGTCCGAGTGCGCGGCAGCGGCCGAGCCGTCGCGTGCGCGCGTGCTCGCGTACCCGCGCTGCGCCAGGTACCTGCGACCAATAACACCACAAACGTATTAACTTTGCTCTTACTGCGTGCCCTTGCCTACACAATAAAATATACACGAAATAATTAAGAAAAAATATTGGAGTTCTTGACAATTTAGGGGTCATCTATAAATGACACCGCATTCATTTTAAACCTTCCTCGCACTTGTCACATGTATTCAAGTATTCTGCAGCCTATTCTTTTGTTGTAAATTGTAAAAAAATGCAACTTGAACTCTTAGAACTAGATCCAAATTGGATTTTTTTAAACCTGTTATGTACATAGTTATATAATTATTAATGTCAAAAAAGTAGTAAGAGTGCATCACATGTTTTAGCATTCATATAATATGACCCCTTATTACAAGATAATTTCAAATATAAAATTCGGCACAGCGGATTTCACAATAATATCATAATAATATCAATAATATCCATCCAATTTTAAAACATAATCTTGAGCTTTTATTAAAACTTCTAAATTTGTAAATAAGTTAATTTAAAAAAAAGTAAGTGCATAGCTAGATATCTCTGAAATTTGTACAAATTGTCTCTATCGAGGAGCAAAATTAAGGGGCACTCACCGTTCAATAGCTTGTACTAAAGCTAATGGGTCTATCCGCACTACACCACCTTTCCACTGTTTAAGGTTGGTGCAAGTGGGATGACGCTTGAGATCACACTGTAACAATACAATAAGTATTTATTAATTATGTTAGTATATTATATCAAAGAGCAAGAGAAAACATGTTTTTAAAGTAACCACTCTTATTATATTAATTAAATAAATCTTTTTGGATACGCCACTGTGAAATTAGCAACTAACAAATAATTTATTGCAGTTTTTGTTTTTAATTTGAAAGGAAAAATTAGTATACCTACTTTATGTGTGAGATTATTTTTAATAGAATGCATGAATCACCGAAAATACAATACATAATAAAATGTTTTTTATATAGCTTAACAGTACGTTTGCACTGAGAAACATGTCAACAGAAACAACACGTAATGTTTTGAAACAAATCGCATAAAATAAATCACACAACGTGTTTTGTTGATGGTGGCGTTCGCACTCACAAAAACTGTGTAAAATTTTCTACAGATATTCAAAATGAATGTTTGAATATGACATTGAAATAATTTTTTTTAAACATTTTGTTTCCGTAGTTATAAAGATATAATATAGTTAAAATATGTAATGTACAGTAAACTGTCAAACATATTTCACTACAACATTTTTTTGACTATGCAAACGCTTTTTGATACATTGATAGAAAACAGTGTTCAAAACGCTTTTTTTTTGTGAATATCGCGTCAGTGCAAACTCAGGGTAAGAAGCATTAAATACGAGCAAATTGTTAAATGTTTAGTTGGAGTGTCGTTGGTTTTTAACAAGTTTCACGAATATTTTGAAATAGAAATAGTTGGCAATGTGATGTACGTCACGACGATGGTGAAGTCAGCGTCAATATTACTCGGAGAGCTGGCTACACTTTGACTAACGTGTCAGATACGAACCTAATATTTTATATTGTTCTTCATTATTATCGTCATCATTTTATGTTATTAATTTAATATTTGTTAAGCACGATCTGGGGGAGGGGTTGGCCGGCTGCAACCCCCCCCCTCGACTAGGCTTTTAAATATACTTTAATTTAATATTAAACAATATAAAAAATTGAGGCTTTGTATCTAACATGATAGTTAAAATGACGGCCAGGTGAGCAACAAGACAAAAAATATATGTCAAGTGAAGACAATGATGTCGAGGCGATGTCTGACCATGAGCTGGTGTGTGTTGAAGAACTTGAGGGCGGAGGTGGCGGGGCGCGCGGGCAGGTCGTGCACGCGCACGGGGAACTGCTCCAGGTGCGACACGCACGCGTTCACCTTGCTCACCAGCGCGCCCAGCGCGCCCGCACCCAGCCACGCGCCCACGCTCGACACCTTCTCACTCCACTCGTTGTCGCTGTCATCAACACAACGTTTATATTCACACTTTGCTCATTTGGAATTATTTAGTAGTCATTCATTTATTCATTATCGTTACTGTTACAGCCTATTAAGGTCCACTGCTGTACTTAGACCGTCCCTATAGATAACCTCATAGGGGAGATATTTGCCATAGTTGCCACGTTTGGTAAGCGGGTTGGCAACCGCGGTGTTTTAGTTTCAGTCATTATTAGGAAGTTGCTGCTGCCCATCTCCTGGTTTGTTTTCCTCTGTCGCCTCTTACAACGCCCACGGAATAATATGGGTTAGTGGATATTCTTACAACGCCACTACTCGGTAATTTGCTCATTGCAGTCATCAATAATCCACATCCTCATAGATTGTCTTATAAGTCATCGTAAAATACAGGTTGGGTCAGAATAAAGTAAAGAGATCTATAAAAACCCGCGTGAAGGAACATATAGCTGATGTGAAGCACCGACGCTCCGGGAAATCTGCTGTCTGCGAACATGTTCACGATCGTCCCCACCATTACATTAGATTTGATAAACCACAAATTCTCGCAAAAGAACACCGATTCCTACCAAGGATGATACGCGAGGCTATTGAAATGAAAAAACATCCAAATTTCAACAGAGAAGATGGTTGGGTGCTACCATCTGCTTGGGATCCTATAATTAACAAAATTAAACGCCCAAGCATACCACTGCAAGACTTCATGATACTATAAGCTCGTTTTGCGTAAATCGGACCAAAAATTAATATTAAAAAAACTGAAGGTAGCCGGACTAACTATGACATTGGGACGTCAAACATCTCAGTCCCCCCCCGTGACCATGGGTGCTGTAAAGCACCCGAAACGTCGGGATAATAATAAAAATAAATTAAAGTAATTAAACGCGATAAAATCCGTAAATAATAGTTTTATTCAATGTGTAGTGTTCGCGTAAATTTAAGAAATCATTACAGAATAAAGTTCATTTTTGAAACCAATATAAATAAAAACTGATAATACTTAGAGTATTCAAAAAGTAACTTAATCTATAATTAATGTTATTTTACTTCTTGAAAATAACATCATCTAGGTGTTCCCCGTCTCGCCTGCAAGCACTCTTCTAAGTGGAACTTAAGATTTTTAAAAACGCGCCGGCACGTAGCCGTCAATAGAACCGCCATTTCCAATCGAATGTTCGCTTTTAACCTTTTGAACGCCAAAGTCGCCTATACTTGACCAGCACCTGCGAGCTCTGAGCGCCAACGACGTCTATAGTTGACAAAAAACCCGGCCCACAAAAATATGAAATATGTATATTGGAAAATTATTACTGGAATTTTAATTCCACACTTCTCAAAAAAGAATAACCCAGCAAATTGTGAGTATAAAAAACAAGTCTCCTAGATCCACAAGTACTAATAAACATTGAACTACTAAAAAAAATGGATTTTCATCTAAGCAAATACCATGTCCAGCACGCCAAAGTCGTCTATGTTTGACCGCTAGTGTTGTAATGTGTTAGGCATAGATTTATTGAAAACTATTCAAATTTCAGATCAAAACTATCAAAATTAAACGCAAACATGTTATTTTTTTTTAAATTATTATTGATATTTGAATAAAACAAAAGGTAAGAAACGTAAAGCTAGCATCAGCTACATAAATAAAAGAAGATTTAATCAAATCAATTTCGCATAATAAATCTAATATCTCAACTCTAGCGCATCCTTAGCGCGTCATCGATTATCAGTTCATTGGGCGCCGTGGTCAAGGATAGACGACACGCTGATGACGTCATAAACGAATAGCGGAAAAAGTAGTGCAGTGCAACATGAACGATTCCTCAGAACTCATTCGCATTTTGGAAAGCGTCGATGATGATGAATTTTTTTATTTTAATAATACAAAATTACAAATAATAAATGTTTATTTTTTCTTAAGGTATGAAGAGCAATTTTACATTTTGTGTTGTGCGATTTTCTTTCTCGATCTAGGGTATTGACTGAAACCTCTATTATATTTGCTGATGACATTTCCATTCTTATTTCGCATACAAAAGACCAGAATTTTAATAATAAATTGAATCAAGTATTGAACCAGGTTATAAATTGGCTCACACATCTCAACCTAGAGATTAATTTTAATAAAACCAAAATTATGCAATTCCGACCAGTTCAAAAATCACCACTAAATATCGCTTTAACTTATAATAATATACCTATAGGAACTGTTGACAACTTCAACTTGTTAGGCCTGGAAATCGACTGCCATATAAACCGGAAAGCCCATATAAATAAAGTAAAAAATAATCAAAATTCACTTAGGTATTACGAGAAATAAAGAAAACCACAGATGTTCCCAGCGTTCTGTCAGCATACTAAGCATAGGTACACCTCTTTGTGGCTGTCATACGGTGTCATGTTGTGGGGAAAAAGTAAAGATGCACAGCAATTATTTATAATGCAAAAAAAATTATAAGAATCTTGGCAAACATAAAAATTCAAGAAAGTTGTAAGCCTCACTTCAAAAAGTTTAAAATTTTGACTTTGACTCCTATTAATATTTGGGAAACATGCAAATTTGTAAAAAAAAAAAACACCCAGAACTAGTATTTACCAAATTAAGTGAAACAAATTACAAATACTCAATTAGACCAAATAATAAAAATAATATAAAATAATAATTCGTCTTAGACTGCTTCGCGAAATCCCCAAAGTCGCTGAACGTCTTCGCGTAGAAAGATTCGCATTATCTTGAACAGATCGATTAACCTCTCGATTCGCTTGCTCCGTGTGTGAAGTGCGGGAGTCATCTTGACATCTCATTGGTAGCATTGAACCAGTTTCTTAGCACCTCTTCAGTTATTGTTTAAGTAACCGAGTGTTAGGATACTGCCGGATACTCCGTAAATTGAATTGAACTCTGAACTTGCGTCACACAATAATGTAAGAATGATCATTTTCGTAAAACGCTTGAACAGCGAACACGCGATGCTCTCCCGTAAACTGACTCAAGGCGACTACAATTGCCAGAGACGCGTGACACGATCACACCTCGAGCATCCCGCTACCCCCTGCGGTCAACAATCTATTTGCCAAGGAAAAGTAAATTTTATTCTGACCCATCCCGTGTTACAACAAAATGCGATAGAATTTACTGATTATACGTAAACAATTAGGGTAAATTAGTTGACTTCACCAGTTGTGCTATAAAGCGGGCTACATACGACACGATATCGGTGGCGATCTAGGGTGGAAAGAAATCGGGGCTTTTATCGGGGTAGACCTTACACACGGGCCTGCCTAGCAGTACGCGTTCGGACTTGGAGCGGAATGCATATGCGGTAGAGTTCTTCAAAATACCTCCGACTCTCTTAAAACACCACCGTGTTGGTTTGGCATTAGCCATCTCGGTTAATTTATTCGAAAATAAAAAAAGAGAAGTTGCTGGGTGAAAAAAATGGCTCCAAAAGAGATAAAAATTAAGCCACATAAACGTACTAAATGGCCTGTAATCCAAGGACGTGATTAATTTTCTCCGGATGGATGAAGACAGTTTTTATAACCTTCTAGAAATGATTTCGCCACTTATATAAAAACGTCAATTTCTCCTACCTATGCTATTTAGTTATTTATGTATACTTTTTTTTAATGTAATCTTTATTTATGGAGTAAAACTATCAGAAAATAAAATAGCTTATATCTTTTTTTTAAACATAAAGAAACCTTTAATTTCGGACATACTCCCTTTTATATAACTTGTTTGTTGATGTGGAGATGGTGAAGGAGTAGAAGTTAGTTGTTGATAAGAGGATGAAGGCACGTAAGAGATCGAAGTGTGGTCTTGTGGAGTTGTAAAAGATATGAGTGCGGTCTTGTGTTGATAGCGTTGGAATAGGAGTTAGTTGTTGAGGAGAGGCTTTATCTTCTCCTTACTTACATCATACACTCTACTTTACGAACGGCAATAAAAAAATTAGTTTAGTAGGCATTCTTGACCATGTCACTTCGCAGGGTCACAGGCTAGGGTGGATATGATTTGAATTTCGATAAAATTTCAATTAATTTATTTATTTTATTCACTTTTTTTTGGTTTTTTGTAAAATATCAGTGCCATAGGCTTCTACTCCGTTTATATGATTAAAATATAAAAATTTTGTTACATAAAAAAGGTCATTCAGTATCACTGTTTTGTTAACTTCCTTCCGCGAGGGTTGCCGGCAGCGACTGCCAAAAGAAATCGGGCCGATGCGCCTACACACACGCAGTAAGAAGGGGGCGGTGCCCCGATCTAGGAAGCATCGGCTGATCTAGGAAGCATTTTTGCTCCTGCCAGCCGATTAAGGAGGCGATATCGGCCACGACTTAGGATGGCCCTACATACGACACGATTTAGAGGCAATCTAGGAGGCATCCCCACTACTCCACCCTAGATCGCCACCGATATCGTATCGTATGTAGCCCGCTTTAGTAAAGACTTGAGATGCATTTTTATAAGCGTCTTCAAATAAATATGTATCAAAATTTTATCGATTGATTTTCTTAATGATGATCTTGAACATTAATCAAAAGTCTAAAATGTATAAATTCGCTCAGTCTGTCAAACACAGCGAATCGGGCTTGTAGTAGTGATAAAACGACGTAATTGCTTGTATGTGTGCTCCCGGCGACAACGATCCTCGTACAAATTAAGGTTGACAGCCATTCTATTGTGTATTAGTATTCTATGATTACCACCATAATTTTTTTACAATAAAGTATAATTGACATAAAAGTTTAGTTAGCAAATTATAAAATATTACTTACTCAGGTACAAGCGGCATTTCAGCAAAGACATGAAGGAAGAGACGCAAGCGGTCTTCGCACTCTGCGATTTCTTGAGCCAAATCACGGCTTTCGCTCTCGCCTTCCCTATCACCCTCTGTACATTCTGATTCCATTTCCCCTCCCGTGAGGAACTGGAGTAACGCACCCAATACACCAGAATGATTCACCTGCGAGAATTTAAAATGTAAAATATATTACACTAAAAAGGTTAATCGCAATTGTGTCTCTCGGTTGTGTTAGATCAAAGTCACTTCATCATGAAAAGAAAAAACCGTTTTTTGAAATGAAAACTTCTTTAAAATCGTTTTGATTTGAATCTCGAAAAAAAAAGAGACAATAAAAAGAGACAAACATATACATCTATAGAATTTAGCCTACGAGAGAATAAGATTAAATACAGTATACAATGTATTATGTAGTATACAATGTATGTATTCCTATCATCTCGGTCTTCTCTTTGTACGGTGCTTTAAAGATGGTTAATAAAACTTTTAATAGTTAAAATAAAGAGTTAAAAAAGAACAATTTATTAGATAAATAAGATAAAACATATTGAATAAAATTATCAATACATTCATAACAGTCCACGATTACACAACTTGCTGATTTATATCAAATTAGTCGTACCACCTTGTGTCAATAAATTTTTGTTTGATAACTGAAAGAAAGGATGAAGTAGATGGCGCTATTACAAAACGGTTTTATTCGCAATTTTTGGAAGGATTCACTTCTGCCGCGTGTGTTTCCACTTTACAGTTAATCCTTATCGGTAGTTACAATTGGTAGTTAACCGGTTTGGCGTGTACGTTGATAGTTGCAGTTTTTTTTATAATTTTGAGTAGTTATAAGGAATATGTTTCTGTCAATCTGTTTCAGTAAATCTCTGTAGCGTCTTACGAGATCCACGTACACGGTACCTAAAGACTTTATGTACGCTACTAGACCGGTAATTCAGAATGAAAACTGTCACTGCTGTGGTTCGCGCGGGCATCGATTGTACAGGGAGCTGGCACGGTAAATAATTCATTTATGATAGTTAGTGATTTAGACACATACGAAATAAACTTACACATACGAGGGCTGCACTAAAAGTATGGGGAATGGAATATTTCCACTGTTCCTGTCATATTAAAATCTTTTTAATTGAAAACTCCTTGGTTTTAAAAATCGAATACCATTTATTTATTTAAAAAAAGATTCTCGGTCTTGTCACAAGGTTTTGTCAAACTTGTTTAGTCGTTGAGAAAATGTAATTGACTCGAGAAAATTCAAGAGCGATGATTTATTATGACTTTCGAAGTGGTTTAACACAAAAACAGTGTGTTGACCGGATGATTTCTGCATTTGGTGATGAAGTTTGCTGAATTTCAACGTGGACGTGTCAACAAGCTCAGTGATGATCCCCGTCAAGGTCGTCCAAAAACTGCAGTCACGCAAGAAAACGTTGATGCTGTGCGTAAGCTGATTGAGGAAGATCGACATGTAACATACCGCGAAATTCAGGCAACTTTAGACATTGGCATGAGTCAAATACAAATAATCTTGCATGAACAATTAGGTGTAAAAAAGTTGTTTTCCCGATGGATACCGCATTCGCTCTGTGAAGAGCAAAAAGCTCGCGTTACTTGGTGCGTCGGAACTCTCGAAAGATTCCACGCAGGATCCTCAAATGCTGTATACAACATCTTATCAGGTGACGGATCCTGGATATGTATAATCCTGCGTACGAACGCGAAACAAAAAACCAGTCACTTGTTTGGGTGTTCGAAAATGAGTTAAAGCCAACAGAAATTGTTCGTTCACGGAGTGTTGCAAAAAAATGGTGGCCAAGTTTGTCTCCAAAACCGGTCATGTTACGACTATTCCTCTTGAGGGACAAAGAACGGTTAACGCAGAATGGTATGCTAGCATTTGTTTGCCACAGGTCGTTTCTGAACTCCGTAAAGAGAACTGCAACCGCCGCATCATCCTCCATCACGACTATGCGAGTTCTCACACCGCACACAAAACAAAAGAGTTTTTAGAGCAAGAAAACATAGAATTATTAGACCATCCGCCATACAGCCACGACCTAAGCCCTAATGATTTCTATACTTTCCCTAAAATAAAGAATAAATTGCGTGGACAGAGATTTTCATCACCTGAAGACGCTGTGGACGCCTACAAAACGGCCATTTTGGAAACCCCAACTTCCGAATGGAATGGTTGCTTCAATGATTGGTTCCATCGTATGGAAAAATGTGTCAAATTTCGCGGAGAATACTTCGAAAAGCAATAAATGCATTTTTAAATAGTAATGTTGTGTCACTTCCTTGATTCCCGAAATTTTCATTACCGCCCTCGTACTTACCTGAAAATAAACTTCAAATCACATTGACCAAGTGCTCACATAAATAATGACAGCGTTTTTATAGTCACATGAAATAAAATCAGGGTTACGACTGTCGAAAACAACGTTTGCAGTTAACAAAATAAATAACTATTCTTCTCGTGCAATCGAAGTTGACTAAAGTATCCGTAGAGCCATAGATCAAAAACAATTAACCGTACTCGTTTTATTAGATTTCAGCAGTGCCTTTAATTCTGTTGACTTTGATATCCTCTTAAAAATTCTCCAGTCTATTAATGTTTCACCTTCGGCCATTCTCTGGTTTGATTCCTACCTTCGGGGTCGCTCACAATGTATCCGTTCCAATGATACTTATTCCAACTGGTGTAATCTTATAACGGGTGTACCCCAGGGTGGCGTCTTGTCTCCGTTGCTCTTCATCGTTTTTATCAATTCTATAACAAAAATAATATCCTCCAACTTCCATCTTTATGCAGACGATTTGCAGCTTTACCGTCACTTTGTGGCATCTGAAGCTAAATTGGCGATAGAAGCACTGAATGATGACTTGAAGAGAATTAGTCGTTGGTCCAGATCACATGGTATAACTATTAATCCAAGTAAGTCTCAAGCAATAATAGTAAGTAGCAGATATACTAGTAGCTTAATTGATAAATGCACCCTGCCAGATGTGATTATCAATGGCACATCAATTAATTATACTGAATCTGTGAAGAATTTGGGCTTAATTATTGACAATAGGTTATCATGGGGTCCTCACATAATGGACTTAGGTAGAAAAGTTTATTATGCTTTCCACTCATTAAAACGTCTTCAAAGTTTTTTACCCTTATCAACGAAAATCACTCTTGTTCAAACCCTTATTTTGCCTATCTTAGATTACGCTGATGTCTGTTTTTTGGATGCCACAGAGGAGCAATTAAACAAACTTGAGCGATTACAAAACCTTTGCATTCGGTATATTTTCGGACTCAAGAAGTTTGACCACGTCTCTGAATATAGAAAGCGACTCAAGTGGCTCCCGATCTGATTTAGCAGGAACACTCGTATCCTTTGTCTCCTTTTTAACATCCTACACAGCCCAAACTTCCCTACATACCTCCGAAATCGATTTACCTTTCTTAAATCCCCAGATACAGTTTGTAGATCACACCTTAAAACTCTCTTAAAATTCCCATCCTTTAATACTCATTCATATTCCCGTTCATTCTCCGTACAAGCAGTAAGACTCTGGAATTCGCTTCCTACTGATATTCGAGAAATCAAAACACTGACATTATTCAAAAAACGAGTGAAAGAACATTATTTATCGCTGTCTTCTGTGTAAGTCTCAAATCTGTGATATGTACTATACTGTTACAAATATGTGCATGTACAAATATGTATGTATGTGTGTCTGTATATATGTTTATATATTTAATTATGACTTTATATTAAATTTAGTATTTATGTATGTATTAATGTTTGTTTAAATATGAATATATTCATGTATTTGTATGTATATGTATGTATATATGTATATATATATATATATATATATATATATATATATATATATATATATATATATATATATATATATATATAGTATTTGAGTTGACGTATATATTTATCGTACACCCATATGTGTAGTAAAATAACAAAGTGCACACCTTATAATCATTTAGTAATCATATGTGTTTGAAACTGACCTAGAAAGAAAGAAAGAAAGAAGAAGAAAGAAAAACCTTTATTCACTGGAACTGTACACATCACAAAAATAAAATAATAAACAGTTAAAATTTATCAAATTAATATTACAAGTGATGGGGTGTGTATCGAGCCAGTGAAAAGGTTATGACTCAGCGTAATGCTGCAGGGTAACCTACAGCGCTGATGATTCTGCCATAACCACAGATACACGCACGATCCGTCTGGGTGTATTTTATCAAATAAGTTTCCATAGTAAATTAAAACTAAACGTTGCTCGTCAATATACCTATAAATAATTAGTCCCACATATAAGTACATTAGAGATACACACATACGTAGAAGACATATTATACACATAAATTTAATATAAAAATGAAAAAAAAAATAAAAATTTCAAAATACTATATATACATATATGCATACACATACATATACATATATACATATATATATTCGGTAAATACATACTAAAAACAAACATATAATGCTCAACGATGCTGGAATAAACATCTGCTCTAGACTTAAGGTTGAGCTTTTTGTAAGTGTAATAAATGATTTTTATAGTGTGATTTAAAATTATACCTTGAATTACACTCACGAATAGGTGGAGGAATGTCGTTCCAGCACCTAGTAGCTATATATTTGAAACTACCTCTAAAAGCTGCAGAACAGTAAGTGGGGTTGGCAAGTGGGTTCGTACAAGACCTGATGTTTTGTCGATTTCTCCATATTAGTTTACTATATAAATATAGTGGCGACTTAGTTTTCACAACATCAAACAGTAAATTAGCTAGGTGTAGTTTCTGCCGCGCTTTCATTTTTAAAATGCCTGCTTCATTGAAAAAAGGTGTTACATGAGACCGTTTCGGTATTGAGAAGCAGTATCGTGCACATGCATTTTGTATACGTTGAATTAGACGTTGTGACTTTTCCAAAATACAGGGTCCGTACACTGCAATGCAGTGGTTTAATTTTGATAGAACGAGAGATTCACACAGTCTAATTCTTAAGTCCAGCTGAATATATTCGCGGATTCTGTATAAAACCTTTAACCTATAAAAGCAGTTGCGGACAAGCTCAAGTAAGTGTTTTTCAAAACGCAGTCTGCTATCCATAACTAAGCCG